GACCCGATTATCAAGCTGCGGTGCTGTTCCATCACAATGCTGCCCGTGCAAATCACAACGCTGATCCCCTGATCTGGGACACCGACTGTGAAGCCAATGCTCGTATCGCTGCTAGTAGGTGTAACTTCGAGCACTACATCCCCAAAGGCGCAGGCCAAGGCCAAAACCTGTTTGTTGTGTCTGGAGATGCCTTCAACGCCACTGCAGGCATCTCGGAGAGCTGGTATCATGGCGAACTTGATCCAATGAAGCCTTGGTTCGGCAAGAACAACCTTCCCCACGAAGTTTTCGAGCAAGTCGGTCACCTCACACAGCTGGTTTGGAAGGAAACTACGAAGGTCGGATGCGTCTCACTTGACTGCGGTGAGTAATGTTTGTATGAATCGCGTGTGAAATAATTACTGACCTCATACACCGATCTCTAGGTACGGCTATGATCGTCAACGGACAGGGTTCGACCATGAACAAGTATACCGTCTGTAATTACGCTCCAGCGGGTAACTTTGGCGGCAAGTACGCGGCGAATGTCGAGCCCCCTGTCCCCTCTGCCAAACTCGTCGGCTGGGCGGACTAGTCATCATTCCAGCTGCGCATACTTGCATGCATGCAGTATCAACGTAGTTTTAGATGTAATTTACATCGAATGATCGTGGCTTGAGATGCCAAAGTTCAACCATGTTCGACACGTGAAGATGCTAGAGCTAGAGAAGTCATACGCAATTATCACGAGGAGGTCTCATTCGACGCCGGTATCGACGAATGTAGCAGCCGTGAACAAGGGTGGGTGACGTTTGCGCGCGATTGTTCGCCGCTAGCGACGCGTGAATATCACACGCGTCGCGCTTTCCAACCTCTTTCCAAGCACTATCGCATCCATTTATTCTCCTTTCTGCTATATATCAGGACTACGCAGAAACCAGATTTTTTACACACAGATCAGGGCATATATCGAATATAGAGATGGTAGTACATAATTCTCTCGTTACTAAAAACTCGAATGGGCGTCTCCAACCCACCGCGCTGAACAGCACCTTCGACAAAAAGACCTCGGATCGCGCTGCTAGTGCAGCAAATTTCACTATACAAAAACGCTTTCTGCTGCCTGCGCAAGTGTCAACAGCCAATGCGCGAATTTATCTAGGCACTGAACCTCTGGTCAATGCTCCGCGATCATGGGGCAGTACACGGTAGACCCCGTCTGCGAGCACATAACTACTTTCTCACCTCGGACTGGACCACTAGCTGGAAACTGACCCTGATATAAACTCCTAAATTAGGGCTGTTTTAATCATCCAGCGAAGAAGTGCGTTTAGCCGCTGCAATGTCGATGCCTTCCAGACTCGATCCTCGGGTAGCTCTGCCGCCTGAGCTCAAGTGTACGATCTGCGATCTTGTAAGCATAACACGAAGTTTCACAACGCATGTATTCGTGTGAAATAGACGACGCAGCGCGGCTGATCACCACACTTCACCCATAAACGCGGTCCGTTAGTCATCCTTCTCCGTGGCCCCACTGCAACCATATCAGTCATTTGAACCAGCTTCCTTTACTATTACAACGAAGAAACCGATCCATTGCAAGAACGAGTAGCTGTGTTGCTTGTGAATGAGTATCCATTTCGTCACGTTGTCGCTTGTTGCCTGGCGTTTTTGGTGGTACAACCATCAAGCGCAAGTTCGTCCGAAACCACGGTTGATCATGCGTACCTTGTGAAAGAACGTAATAAACATTTTCCATTGCTTATATCCTAACATCGCCTTCACTTGGTCTACACTCACGTTAAGGCAGGAACCAATGCGCACCTCCATTGGATATAAGTCTTACTCACACCGGCTCTGCTTCTCATTGACCCATCGATCAACCGTGCAAGCTCAACTTTGGTTGCAACACATTCGAACCACAACATCTCAAGCAAACCTAGGAAGCTTACCATGACCTCATCTCCGCATACGCAAGACTACATTGGAAGATTGTCAGAGGAGTTGCGGCTTGAGGTATGCGAATTGGTAAGTTATACATGATACCAGTCAGCTTTGCGGCACTAATGCCTACGTAGTTGCCCATCCCAGCGCTCAAGAATCTTGGGTTAGCCAACAAACAGTGGCGAAAGTCTACCTCATCTGTGCTCTGGAAAAGTTTCGAGTCTACCCTCGTAGCTAGAGATCGCGACTTCGATGCCCTTGTCTTGTCTTTACCTGATGGCCTTTTCGACAACGTCAAGAACTTGAAGATTCGTACTCCTCCCGAGAACTTCGAAAAAGTGATGCAGGTAGTATCGAGCATTACTCGGGATACTTTAAGAACTGTGGAGCTTATAGGCGTGCATACTGAAGTTTGGGAGTCGCTACTCTGCTCTCAACATTCAATCGAGGAGCTCACATTCCGGCAACACTCATACATTCAACTCAGCCGACGCTTTCCCAATCCTCGCTCCCTCGCGCATAGCCTGAACAAGCTTCGAAAGCTGAAGATCGCATCCCGCAAGGATGATAACGACTATAGCGCTTGGCTCGTGAACACACCAGCTCTTGAAGTCTTAAGTCTTGGATCTGGGTGGGGATGTGATTCTAGTGAGGCATGTCAAGTACCTCTCGATATAAGGACACCCGCTGTTGGTTTCGTACCTCTAAGACTTCGACGCCTATCTCTATTCCAGTTGAAACTATTGGACAGAGTTGATCATCTTGGAGGCATTATCCATCTGCCTTCTCTCAAGACTTTGGATATAATCCATTGCGATCGTGTCCCGGTTTTACTTCGGTATCTAACCAGCAAATACACAATCTCAAACGAGTCTGCCCTGAAGTCATTCAACCTAACACAAGATCCCGAGGACGAAGAAGAGCTGGTTGAGTCTCTAAACCAGTTTATCGGGTGCTTTTCAGGTCTGGAGACGCTCTTTGTAGCGACTCGAGATCCTCAACACGTTGACGTGCATAAAGTATGCCGACATGGACAGACTCTACGATTTCTCCACTTAGATCCATTGTACCGTCAAGTAGATCTTACCTTATTCAACAATCGTGGTTACTACTCAGCTGGAGAACTTGAGATACTCGCTGCTGGATGCCCATACATCGAGGAACTTGGTATCCATGCCGCTGCCATCGATCTCAGCGTCGTCGACCTCAGCTTAAAATTCTCGAAATTCAACGGAAGAGATCTTCCAAGAGCTCTGGACATACTAGCTCGGCTTCGGTCGCTACGCAGCTTACGCCTTACCTACTTACTCACCGTGAACGACAACAATGAAGTTGGAGATTCGAATTCAAATGCATGGCACCACTCCAGACTAGCAAGCAAGGTCATGCAGTACCTAGTAGAACGAGGTTCATCAATCGAGGTCTTTGCGATCAGTCCTACGGCTGCTCATGACTCGGAAGACATAGAAGAAGACTTCCACGGCCACACTTGGCCTAACTACTACTACGTACGTGGTACAGTGACTATACCGCTCCGTCACCGACATCTCACTCAGGCCCAGGCCATACCAGTGACGGCGAAGAACATTACGGACTACGTTAAATACCCATCTCTCCTGTTCAGATCGGAGGAAAAAGACTTCAAAGCTTATGCATGACGCGCCCCTTTGGCTTCATGGTTGGCTTTGGCAATATCAAAAATTGGTGAATGGGTAGCGCGAAAGAGCGTGGCAAGAGTATGTAGCCTTAGTAGACACACCATCTCTATTCAAAAGTCACACGTTCTTGATCTGTGCCTTCCTTTTGCGTTCACGTGTCAATAGAAATTCGAAAGTGGCAACTACGCAAACGACCAGAACCATGACTTCCTAGCGTGAACGCTTCTTTGCATGTTAGTAAAACGTTGAGGCGTTGTTCTGACTCACCTGAAGATTTTAGAATCGTCGTTAGCCAACGTGGTATGGTAGTCTTTGGCGGAATCGGGTACGACAGCCTTTGCGCCGACTTTGACATAAGTCCGTCGGGCCCAAAGGGTAGTCATGGCGATCAACTAATATTTTGCAAGTCTTTCAACACTCCACACACCCACCCTCCCACCCCTTCCTGGTCGTCGCATGAACCGAAAGACAAGAACTCTCAGAATTGATCTGTTCCAGTACTCGCTCCACTTTTGTTTTTCGCAGGTGATCCCGAGGAGGAGGAGGAGAAGAAGAAGAAGAACCACGTGGTCGTCGTTAGCATGCGAATTTTTGAAACATACCATTGAAATATCTCGAATATCCATTTATGGTGAAACAAAAAGAAGAAAAGAAAACAGATAGTTCCATGATCTACCAAAGAAAAAAAGAATGAAAGAAGCAAACAGAAAGAGCTGCCCTCTTGATAGAACCTTGGAGCTAGATGATCGACTAGTCAGTACACCCTGCATCAGCTACGGGTATGCTAGGCGGGAGTGGTAACATGGCGTGGGCCGGGTCGGGTGCAGCAGCCGGGCGACAGCCACACCCGACGCCTATGCTGCTAGTCGTAAATCCACACATGGTACATACACCTCAAGCCACATTCGAACAAACAGACAAACAAAAAAAAACAGCAAAAAGTCAGATATCGAACGTGTATTCATAGATATTCAATACACCGACCATCTACGCAATCTTTTACGTGACGCTCTTCCTGTTTCCGTGCCCATGGTATCCCAACGAGTGATTTCCCCATGTACGCCATGCCACTCATGAGGTAATCCAGGTAATACAATGATGAATAACGATACCATGCCTAGGCAAATACCCAATGATAGCAAAAAAACCCACAACCTTCCAATTAAGACTCCAGCCTGTTTTTGTTTGACAAGATGTATGAAAAGGCGGGTCATCCGTATAGCCGTACAAGCGAATCGTAGTGATATGTAACGATGAAAGCGAAGTAATAAGTAATGGTATATGAACAATAGAATGCAGATGTGCCGCCCGAGCCATGCAAACAGTAAGATGCGTTGGCTGAATAGAACAGAACGTGCGGCAGATATTAGGAGACCTATGTGCGATGCATGGAAAGAATCTGATGGACGTGTTACGCAATCAAGCAGTATCTGCGATGCTGACACCACCCATACCGTTGACAGCGCTGTGCTTGCCGTTAACAGGCGCGCTATGTACGGGTTCGTCAATGGTGGAGTTGTTCGTGCTGGGGTGGGAGCTACTCTGTGGCGATTGAGCGGAACTGCTGAGAGCTGGTGTAAGCATAGTCGGCGAGTCAATGCGATCGTAACGGAACATCTTCTTCTCAACCTAAGATTTCGTTAGTTGGGTTTCTCCAAGTATGTCTTCAGTTTCACGAGACCACTTACTGAGACGCATTGCTTGCCAGGAATGACCTTTTTGGCCTTCTCAAGCTCAGGCTTGAGTGCTTGGACAAAGTCCTCGTAGTCATCTCGGTTGAGGGTGTCCAGCATCTTCTGGATGACGTAGTTACCGTACCCATCCCTGAGAAGGTTCATGACGTTTGACTCGCCTCGCTCGTTCTTCGCAAGGATGACCGATACGAGTTCACGGCGTTGCGCGTCGTCGCTGCACTTGAGGCACTGCTCAACAACGTTGCTGGCGAACTTGTGTTTTGAGAAAGCGAGGAACTGTGCCTTGATCAGAGCGACAATCTTAGCCCTATCCTCAGGCAAACCGTGCTCGATGACATGCTGAGTGACGTAGTTGCCGTATTGGTCGGTGATGAGTTTGGGTCCTTCAGCGTGGAGTTCGGTCATGATGAACCTTCGTTGTGGCTCCGGAACCTTCTCAAGTAGTCGCTGGATAACACGGCATCCGTAGGAGTTGACCGATAGCACGCCGACGTTGCCCCTGAAAGCCTCGACGATCCTCTGGATGTACTGCATCGGGACCCGGTCGATAACCTTTTGAATGACGTGGTTGCCGTTCTGGTCCTTGACGGTTTTGAGAACATCCTTTTCGAGCTCCTTGACCATCTCGGCTTGTTGCTCAGTGAGCGCATGCTCAAGTGCCTACTACGGTCAGTGTGTTTACTTGGGGCGCATAGAAGAGAACCTTACCTTTTGTACAACTCGGCACGCGTACATCTGATTCGCAAGCTCAAGTACATGACCCTTCATTTTCCCGACAAGGATCTTCTTCTGGACCTGGTCTCCGTGCTCAAAGAACTTCTGGATCACGTAGTTGCCGAAAACATCTTGCATCAGCTGTAGCGCATCCTCTTCGAGCTCTCTGAAGACGCTGTCTTTGACTTCGCTGTTGGCTGATTCAAGCTTCTGCTGAATGAAACGGGAGCCATGCTGGTCTCCGGCAAACTCGACCACGTGACCTTTGATGTCGGTAAGCTCCCAGCGCTTGCTCTGCTTCTGCTCTCTCTTGAAGTTGGCCAACTCAAGACTCATGGCACCGAGACCATCGCCGACCTGCTGCTCTCGAGGACCTTTAGGTGGCCCTCCGTAAGACAAGATTGGTGCTGCTGGAGTCATGTTCATGTGTTGCGGTATCGCGGATAGGGAAAAGCCGTTGGGTAGACCATACTGCTGGTATTGGTACGGGTTCTGGACTTGAGCTGCGGGAAAGATGTTTTGATACTGCTGCTGATGAAGTTGGCTCGGAGAGATGAAATTACGTTGTTGTGACATCTGGAATCCGGCCAGTTTGTTCTGCAGCTGCGTAACACTGTTGGGGTGGGTGAGCATCTGCTCACTGGTGTACGGATTGAGACGATCGTACACAGGCGGTGTGTTCATGGAGGAGTAAAAAGGACTTTGACGAGCCCCAGTGCCGTTCGGCGCGCTTCGACTGTTGTCGAGCTGGTAGGATCGCAGCTGAGAATATTGGCCGTTGAGTTGGGCACTGGAGTAGCCATCTGGAGTGTATGAGCCTGTAGGCGCATCGTTGGTGTCTTGTCCGGGTGTGTGTGCTGGGGTGGAAGCGTTGATACTGAAGGACCTGTTTGGTGCCATGCGCGCATCTTGGTCTTGTTCGCTGTTCAGCCTTCCCAGAGTGTGGAAAGACTCGCTTTGTATTGAACCGCTTCGCTCGTTAAAGGCACGACCGCTTGCCATGGAGAAGGACGATGTTTGGCGGGAAGGCTGAGTAAATCTGGAGAATGCATCCGGAGCCTGGCTGAACGGTGCTGGCTCGGCGCCATGTCGGGATGGAGGCAAGCTTCCGTTCTGTGAGGGGGCTCCGCTCGAAGACGCAAGGTAATCCGAGTTTGCTACGCTGCGGCGGTCGTCGTTCGGAGAGTGGACGGAGCCTGTGTCTGGCCACGAGGTGACACCAGTATCGGGGCGCTGAGAATTATCTGCTTGGCCGAATCCAAAGTTGGTGAAGCCGGTGTTGAGTGATTCGATCTGGCGCGATGTGAAGTTGGATATGGTAGGGTCAAGGAATGGCTTGACCGGCTTTGCTTGCGAGCCTTGGCCCGCGAGTGAGTTTCTTGTAGTGTAGGACGAGAAGGCGGATGGGGAGTTGTCGCTATACTGCTGGACAGGTTGTGCTTGGGCGATAGACCGCTTCCGTGCCGGCGACACTCCGGAGCTTCTTGCATGAGGTATGCTGCCAGATGGGGTCTCTCCCCAAGCTGGCCGGGCGGTAGACCTCCATTCCGTCTCCGAGTTGGTGAGTAGGGAGCCAGAGCCAGTCTTGCCCTCAACATGATCGGCAGGGGTGCCCATGGCGGCGCCGTTCTCTGTGTGCGTGTCAGTATTACAGGGACATGCTATGTCGTGGATGGCGACATACCTCGAGGGCGCGAGTTGTCTCGGCCTTTGGAGCCAAGCGGAAAGGTGCCGATTGGGGCATTCCAGATGTTCTTCCCCCATGGGGATGCGCGTGAGAGTTCAGTGTCGGTGCCGTTGTTGTTGAGCGAGGCTCCACTGGAGTAGTCGCGCGCTCGAGTCTGGAGCATATGTGTTAGCACGCCATGCCGTATGGCTAGAAAAGCCGCTACTCACATTGCCCGCCATGACTGCCATGCTACGACTTGAGCCGGCAGGAGAGGTGTTCATTTACACAGGTCGGGCGTGAGGCTATTAGTATGCGGAGAATATAGCACACCGGTGGGTGCTGCGGCGCGGGGTGGCTTATGCGTGCGCTTTGGTGGGACTAAGCTCAGGCGTCAGCGCAGGCAGGGCAGGTGCGGGGGGAGGCAGAATACTGACGATGTATTACAGCTGATATAGTTGGGGACAATGGAAATAATGTACGAAGAATGTGCGCACGAATGCGGCTTGGAACAAAGAGGTACTACCGGAGGTCCGCGTGAGGAGTGTGGATTGGGAAGTGCAGGCCCGTGGTCGCGTTTGGGTGTAGGAGCGAGATGTGGTAATGTCTCTAGCCACAGTACATGCTAATCTCGAAGCAATTATGTCGCGCACCAGGCGGGGTTCGCATTAAGGGTTCGACGACCAAATGCAGCGGCGGGGATGATGCAAGGGCGCGGGACGGTGGAGCAGCAGGGCAGGAATAGACTCGAGGGGGGGAAATATATCTGCGCTGGTTCGGGGGCTGTGGTGTGCGTGTGGATAGGCGGGAGGAGCACAAGTTTGGTAGCGGGCGTCGAGGAGACCGGGCGCAGCTTCAGCGGGCGAGGGTTGCGCCAGTTGTGTGGGTTGGAAAGATGTCTTTTTGGCGATGGAGATGCGACTGCTGGGCCCTGGCGAAGATAGGATCGGCAACTAAGTTTGGCGTCCGCTGGGGAAAGGCACGCTAAGGCTCAAGGTTGTACCGAAAGCGTCGCCTAGATGTCTTCGGGTGCTTGGTGCAGGCGAGGCTTGTGGGAAAGATGAAATCGACGATTACGGGACGAGATATGATCTCCCTAAGAACAAACGTGGTCGCCGTTTTCTTCTCTCACTGTGACCACCGGCTGCAATGCGCTCGCGTGTGCCAAGCACGAGTCAGGGACGATGCGGCAACGGAATCCGGACGATCCTCTGTGATGCGAGCTGTCGTTATGGCAGCCTGAGACACGACGGGCATGGATAGGAGGCCAGAGGCATTATCTACAGGGCCGCCATGTTTCACCACCACCCTGCCGGCATGTCCAAGCTCTCTCTCTGCTACGCCTTCACCTTTGCATGTTTGCCCTCGGCACAAGACTTTTAGGCAATGGTGTCCAACTTGTCCATGATGGCCAATTGACCTCTCTGCGTACTTGGAGCGAGCTGCAGTACTATCGAGCTCAATGCAGCCCGGAGCTTGTATCCATCTTCAAAAGTGTCCAACGTGATTGCTTCGAGGCACAGCAGAAGATTCACGGAAACCATGGTCGCACACGCTGTGGGTTCAGTCATCACTCAATGGGCGCAGAAAAGCCTTTCAGGCTCGTGACCTGCATCATCCATGGATTGCTCTCGCTCAGAATACTCCCTGCAATTATAACGCCTCCTAGCTGCGGGTTTGCGCTGCGAGGCTGCAAGTCGGATGCGAGGCGTCCAGTGAGCCACCCGTCTCTCCACTCTGTGCGCATCCTGTGTGTGGTAGCTGTGCTGCGCTGGCGTTCTAACAAGCAGAGCAAACTGGCTGCGACTGCCGGATACGTGAGGCATGTTGGGAAAGTTATTCACCCGCTAGCTCTGGCCATGGTTGTCATAACTGCTTCACATCTACACCGCTCTGAATGGTTGAGGTGTTACGCAAGACAAGTCACCGACGAACCGCCGCAAACATGGCGATGAAGCAACTCCGAGTGACATGGTGAGCTGGTGACAGCATTTTACCTCAAATACCGACCTCCTAGCGCTTCTAGAAGGCCATTTGCGACAGTGCCAGCGACAGCCCAGCGACGGCCCCAGGATTCAGGAGTCACTTGGCGTCAGGCAAGCGAGAGGCATCAAACGTCCCGAAGGCTCAAACACAGGGCCTGGCGATGAGATGTTTAACGGCGGGGACGGTGGAGTAGCCAAGTACCGGCCAGAGTGCATCCGTGAGACCATGACGAATTTGCCGTAGTTACTTGGGCGTTGTAACGCGTCTTGACGACTGCGACATTGCAGGTCGAGTGGAAGCCTTATGCCAAACTTGTGGAACTCTGCGAAGATGAAGGGCTGCTTAAAGGCTTTGTCGAACGCAAGAGAGACGTGCCTGAGGAGGCTCGAGTTCCATCACCACATGGCGCTCCCTGCGCACAGCGGTCCACAAATCCATCGTTCATTACGCGCGTTGCTGTGGTATGTGCTATCGACCGGCATCATCCTTTATCGCTCCACAGTCTGGCAAGACGTTCGTCTCAGCCCTCGCTGTCAGCTCTCTCCACGCCGTTGTCACAATCAGTCCAAAACAATGCGTGTCTCGCACGGGTTGAGCTTAACACGACTTCCAGATTGGCATCTTGACGTAGACAGTACATATTCTGGGGCTGTCACTCAAGCGAAGCATCAGGAGTACGTGCCGGCTCACGATCCACTCACGATCCACACCGTCGAGTCTCGACCTTTTGGCTAAATCCCACCCCCCGTCATTCGTTATTACCGCCCCTTGCATTTTGCGAGGCTCTCCACACTGCACTAAGTACTCTTGACTGTTGTTTGTTTTGGTCTGTTTGCAGCACCCTCGATATTTTCTTTGTCTCGGTCTTGGGAACCATCGCGCGCGAACGGCTTTGTCTGTTGTGGTCTCGTGCGGCAGTGTTGAGCAGATCACTGGCGCCAACAAAGCCAAAAATAAGATCGAGAGGATGAGCGTCCTACCGTCATCTTATTGCGCTCCACCGGCTCGGCTTAGCGCAAGCGGCTTCTTCTCCTAAACTAGATAGGCACAAAGTTGAGCGGTCTAGTGTCGATCGCTGATTCGCTCTGGTTGTATCGTTCCTGCATTGGTGACTGCAAGGCGGCTTCCCTGCGCATCCATCAAAATACGTAGGTTTCCCTTCATACCTCGACCTCCTTGCCCACCTCCTCTACGGTCTCGCCTCCCTCCAACTCTCTCTTCTCTGTCGACTTATCGCTTCACTCTTTCAGCGGTATCTCGCCTTACGCTCTTTCCGAACTTGTGTCTCTCGTTACCAATACTTGTCCATCCGCTTGCGAAACGACGGTGCTCTACAGGTGCGTATCCGCTACTTCCCGTCCCCGTCCGTCACACTGCGCCAAGCATCCGCGAACCAACAACCACAACACCACACAGAAGCAACGTGCTCGCTACACAATGGGAACTAACATGCAAACAGCAATTACACTCCTTAATCACTACTACACGCCCCAGAGTTATCTGCACGCCCTCGACACGCCCTAACGACACACAATATCACCAATATCATAATGATGAACATCAGCCTTAGCAAGCGCAATGAGGATGGCAGCCTCAGCACTACCCACCTCGCACTCCTCGTTACCCTTATGATGCTGGTTCTCGTTGGCATGCTATGCGTAGGAGGCCTCATGTTCCTTCGCAGCATCCGCAGAGCCAGGAAACAAGCCGAGACAGACCCAGAACTCCCAATCTACGAGAAGCGCCAATCAAACATCAACCGCCTGACCATCACTGCGATGCCCTACAAGGGCCGCGAGTCCGTCATCACCTACTCGGAAAAGCAGAACCTCATGGACAGCCCTACCAGCCCGGTACCCGAGATCCGCATCACTTTCCCTGACGAGATTGACGAGTCTGGCAAGCAACAATCGGGTCGTGTTGTGGTTGTCCGCGTTGGAGACCACAGCGTTGGACTCGAGCCTGTGCAAGAGGACCTCCCGCCATACCAACAAGACGCATCGGACCGCTTCGACTCGCTCGACCTGGATCGCATGGGCGGACTGAAGGAGAAGGACGACAAATACTACTCATAAACCTCACGACACCACACGTCAAAACCCGGTTAGACCGCCGATACTTCCGGTCGAGCACCCCTCGGGCACCCCCCAGCCATTTGGCTACGACCGACTTTACACCTTGATGACGGCTATACCGCGCTGACTGTCAGCTTCTCCGTTCCCTGCCGAAGCTGTGGAATAGCCGGCAGGGCGCCACACCACTTATGTATATTCTCGGAGTTGACTGGCCATTTTGCTGTATACCCACTCTGACGACTGGCCATCTCTTCAACGAGGTCTTCATACCTCTTACATAACTCTTATTCATTAATGTATGATATCCAACTCACTCTCTAGCGACTGTGCAGAGCAGCACGAGAGCCAATACAATCCTTTGTCAAGACTGAAATGTGTGCTCAATTTCCCAAGACCGAGTGAATGCTGTGCGCGATGTACCTTTGGGCAGTTTCCAAGTCGCGTCTGGAACATGATGTCAAGCTTCGTATCCATCGATAGCAGATCGTAAGCACCGCTCGTAATTACGGCGCGTACCTCGATGGCGGATGCATGACATCGGCGGCTCGGCGAAATGGGAGATCCACAGTGGATGCTTGCAACGCATCCTCACTTTTGCTTAAACCACGCATCAACTTTGTCCCCATGGATTCTGTCGCTCCTTGAGGCCCCCTAAGCCATCCGAATACCAATAGACATCTGATTGGCATCTACTGAGAGCCAATTGGTCCGCCTTCTCCGCCCGCCATGGAGAACGAGGTCTTTACGCCGCTGTCCGACATCACCGGCCAGAGCAGCGCACGCAAAGCTGTCAAGTTTGCGGCCGATACGCCAGAGCCACGGGAGACAGTGCGAGCTCCCCGGAGACAGGTTCACGACCCCGACAAAGCGAAGAAGGTTGGACAGGTGCACTTCAAAGCGCAGCATGGCATCATCATCGCCTTCTTTACCTTTATACTGTAGGCTCTCTCATCAGAGCCCGTCTTCCGGCTCCGCGTACAGACGCGTAAAGCTGACTTGGCCAGAATTCTTCACGTCCTCGGTATCTACCTTTTCACCAGCGGCTTCCTCCTTACGCGATTGGTCCTCGACCACAAGTCAGAATGCGCCCTGCCCCCAATCGACTCTGCCAACGCGTACACAGCGGGCGATGCTGAAAAGGGGTGCTGGCACCCCAAGACGTTCAACAAAGCCGTCGTCAT